TTGAGGTGGCATTTGGTTACAGAGATCTGGAGCTCAGATCACATAACATGAAAACACAGACTTATTGGCTAAAGTCTATAGTAGGGGGCACGATTATGAGGTTTGGATGAGGAACTCAGTAAGCGGTCAGGTGAAAAATGGCACCATGGAAATGTTACAGAAGAAAAAACCTAGAAAGAGATGAAGGAATAGTCAGACATGAGAATCAGAAAAGAATGGTGTCGTGGAAGCTGCAGGGGTAGATAATTTTAAGGAGGGAGTGATCAACCATGTTAGATATGGCAGAGACAAGGTCGAAGGAGCATCCCCCTAGAGTTGTCAATATGGAGGTCATCAGGCCCTTTAGCAAGAACAGTTTTGGTGATCAGTTGGGACAGGAGCTAAAGTGCCGTGAGTTGAAAAGTGAAGGGGAGAAAGTAGAGACAATAAAAACTGGCTTGGTGATGATGTGAGGGGGATGTTTGTAACCCCCATCCCTTCACACTGGAACCTGTAGTGAGTGTGGTTCTGTGGTTTTGCTCCTGCAGTGTTCAGCTCTTTGGATGTAGGAGCAGAGAACTCGCTTGGTTGGTTTAACCCCACTTCTGCTTCACTGAGAAAATTATCCAAAATGAACTCCTTTCCCTTCAGATCCCCTCAAATTTGCATTTTCTTTTCCACATTGCTGCGGTGTCAGTGGAACGTGAGTCCCTTGGCTGAGACTTTCAACTTTGTTTTTCCCTTTCACTCCTATAATTTTGGTCTCTCCTTATGCTTGTCTCCTTAGCTGGCAAACATGTTCTGGGGCCCCCCAGAACCTACCCTTCTCAGGCTGTAACTGCTTTTTTACTTCCACCTGTCAAGAGGTTATTTTGGTCTGTGATGTGGAGCAGAACCAGACCCGTGGCTGTTGTGAACAGCAGAGGTCAGTCTCTAACAGCCAGCTAATCTGTGCAGCCTCGTGGGAATCGAGCGTGGCCTCAGACCTTGCGTTCTCCTCGGGCTACACCTGTAGTGATGCTTCATCTGACTACTCGGAGCTGTGTTGTTTGAGCTTTGTGCATCCAGGAGCTGCTGCAGTCCCCACTACATCAGCTGCTTTTCCTGACCACACTGTGGCTTTTGGCCCTTTAGGTTCCACAGCCCCTGTGGCTTATTATCCGCTTGCTCCCATCTGTCTGCCTGATTCAACAGTGCCGGTGGAAGGAGCATATTTTGCAGGTACCAGATTCAGAGCTGGGGCTGCTGCTGGCAACATTCCTCCTCCACCCCCAGGATGCCTTCCCAGTGCTGCTCAGACTTCTTCATGGTGGCATAAATGGTGGCTCCAGCATCTGGTGAGGAACCAGTCCACTGCTATGCCAGGAAAGACAGCACAGATCATATGAACCTCATGTTTCACTTTAGACACATGTTGGGTGTCTTTCTGGTGCTCAAACTTTTGGGCACTTTTCAGATTCAATCAGAGAGCACTTAATGGTAGCGGTACCTCTGTGAAGCATTTTGATGTAGAGGAGGTAGCCATTCATAAAAAAACATGGGTAGAGCAGCCCTAAGGATCTTCCTTACATTCCTCTGGAGTTATACGGTATCATGCTGGTCTTTGCTTTTAGTAATGATATACCAAATTAGGTTTGCAGGGAACTTTCATCTTCCTGAGAATTAAAGTTGCCAAATTACTCTGATTGGTCTTTCGTCTCCTTTAAGTCTTTGATTTATACTACATGTTATAAATGAAACGTGTTAGTTGTCTGACTTTGCCTGTCCATCCTTTGCTCCACATCCCACCCTCAAACCTAGTCTTCCATTCCCTCCTGCCCATCTCCATTGAATCAGTGTTGTAGAACAGAAAGCCAGTCGGGCTAACTTCCTTCTCTCTCGCACATGTCACTTGCCATCTTTTAACTGGTCTTTCACAAGGATCCTCTGAAAAACCCTCTGTGCCCCAAGCACAGACTCCATTGCTTTTACTTTTGCATCTGCCTCTTGGACCCTCCTCATATGTTGTTTCATCAGACACAGACCAAATCTAAATTTGCTTTGGTGCCAGAAGAGCTGAGGTTCGTTTGAACAAAGAATATCAATACAAACTGTACTGAAAACAACAGTTCATTTAAAATCTGAGGGGCAGTGGAGAGGATGCCTTTCAAAAGCCTAATAGCTTTCAAGTCAAATATAGGGGAGTTTTCAGATCAAAATTTCGTTCCCATTTGTTGTTAGATTGCCTGATGCTGCCACTTAGGGCTCCCAAAAATTTCTAAGCTGCATTAACGGGGTCATTATCGTAAATGCCTCACTTCCAAGTGACTTGATTCTGGTGAAGTCTCATTAGGATTAAGAATGTTTGAATTGTGGGGCGCCTGGGTGGCTCAGTCAGTAGAGCATCAGACTTCGGCTCAGGTCATGATCTTGTGGTCTGTGAGTTAGAGCCCCGCGTTGGGCTCTGTGCTGACAGCTCAGAGCCTGGAGCCTGCTTCATGTTCTATGTCCCCCCTCCTTCTCTGCCCCTCCCCCACTCATGCTGTCTCTCTCTGTCTCTCAAAAATAAACATTAAAAAAAAAAAAAGAATGTTTGAATTGTTAATATTTTGTATTTTTCTGAGATTGGGTTTTATTTTAGCTTACAATTTCAGTTCATCTAAATTTTGTGTTCTGTACATGTGATGTTTGACTGTATCCATTATTATTATGGAAATTCTCAGTGTGGTGTGCTTTCCTTGTGGATTTTTTTTATATTAAAAACGTAAGATAAAGACCGTTTTTGAAGATTTTAATAAAGTGATGACACCGCATTAAACAAAAGTTTATCTTCTCCACAGTTACTCCTCAGCCCCCATAATCCAGTTGTCATCACGATCGTCATTCCACCAAACTCCTTGCACGGGCCACCAGTGCCCTCTTTTTTTGGCAAATCCAGTGGCTTGTATACAGTCAACCTACATTGTTGCTAATACCCTCTTCCTGGAACTTTTCCCTACCACCACTCTCCTAGGTTTTCTTTGTCTGTGCTCCTCCCTCCCCTCGTCCTCCACCTCCTTCCCCACCTTCTTGCCCTGACCGTTGAACAGAGATGCTTTATGGTGCTCTGTCCTGGGTCTTCACTTACTCTGTAGTTAGTTGATCTCTGCCTGTGATACCCACTCCCATGGTTTTGCCTAACTCCTTGCTAATATGTCCAGCTCTTTTTCTTTAGTTCTAGATCACACTAAGAACTAAAACTAGACAAACAGCTGGACCGAGACCTCTTTGTTCTTCCAAAACCACACAAACTCAATTCAGATTTCAAGTAATATATTTTTGCCATACAGGCTAAGAACATGACAATGAACCCTGACTCTTCTCTTTCCTTCACCCTGCTCTCACCCAGCTAAGGCAGTTGTCAGATCCTGTTGACTATACCTCGGGGTGACCGGAGCATCTCACAAGCCCAGCCTCTCATTGCCAGCCTTGCTGCCGCTACCCAACTCGCAGTTCTCACCTGCGAGCGGATCACTTCTCTCCTTGGTTCTTCCCAGTGTCCAGAGAGTCATATGCAGCCTGTTGGTAGTTGAATCCCCATGTCGTCTTGTCCTGGATGACTCAGCCTCGTGTCCCACAGCCTCTCAAGCCACCATTTCCTAAAACTCCATAATTTTTGTTCTTCTGGCCATTTACTTATGCCGTTCCTGCCCTGCCTGGCCATTTCTTCTCATCATTTGCCTAGAAAACCTTTCAGGGCCCAGGATAAGGGTTTTCTCCCATGTGAAGTCATCTTCGAGTCTAGAATAAATGTTGAGGGATTATGAGGAGTAGAACTTAACTACAAGTGCCTTAATGATGACTGCCATTTGTGGGGAAATTGCTGTGTGACAGTCATCATTTTGAATACTGAATACTAGAAGCAGATGGTTAAGAACACGAGCTTTGATGGCAGAGTCCCAGCTCTGCCATTCACTAGCTGTGTAACCTTGGGCAAGTTATTTACCATCTCAGCCTCTATTAAGTCTGAGGGTTCAATGTGCTTGCCATATGGGAAGTAAGCAATAAATGGTAGCTGCTGGCACTATAAACGGAAAGATGTTCATCCCTCCTAACCCCCTGGCGAGATATTAAGTTCTATTGTCATTCCTGTTTTACAGATGGTGAGACCGAGGCTTAGGGAGGTGGGGTAATGTGCTGCTTCCCCAAATGTGGCTGTGGGCATGTGGCTTATTCATCTGTTTATTTCACAATGTCTTTAAGGTCAATAAATATTTACGGAGTTGAATTGAAAGATGAATCTGGAGCTCCTGGGTCAGATTGAGAGGGAAATTTAGAAATTGTCACCTACAGAGGGGTGGTAATTGAAGCTGTTCTTTTTTCTTTTAAGTCCTATCACCTTTGAGAGTCCACACATTTCAACCACCTCTTTACCAATGAGCCAGCTGTTGCCTTGTAACAGGAGATAATTATTACCATCAACTGTTACTTACAGTTTTTGTTAAAATTGGCTTGTATTTGTCTTCGTTCCCCAACTGAATTGTAAACTCCTTGTGGTCAGAGGACTGTACCTTATACTACTGTGCATTAAACCCTGTTCCCTCCTAGCCCTGTTTTTTGTTTCTAAGGTAACAAGTCAAATCTGGCATTTAATATTAATCTCAAAAAGGAATTCTCGGGCATTTCTAAGTGATACCGACCAACCAAGGTTATTTTATTAATCTTTCTTTACTTTCTGTTATCTGGATTAAGAAAACATTATTTTCTTCACACTTTCCAGATAAAATTTATTAAAACCGCACCTCTGCTATTTGTTACATGTCTTTCAGTCCACACCTCTGTGATCTTTAGGATTCTAATACACATTTGTATCCTCCCAAAAGTCTCCAACATAGGCTCTCCTATTCCCATTCTCTCATTTTACAGTTGAAGAAACGGAGGGCCAAGTTCCAGGTGGTTCTCCCATTTGTTATCTGACACAGTGTTCTCTAAACAGCTTGGTCAAGACTCAAGATTTTGAGGGGAATAAGAGTTTTAAATGCTTTGTACTTTTCTTTTGACAGAGCTGAAAAGCTTCAGCTGCTGAACCACAGGCCTATGACTGCTGTTGAGATCCAGCTGGTGAGTGAAGGAGGCTTGAACGTGAGAGGATTGGTTTCTGGGTCTGAGAGGGAGGAAGGGTGATAAAGGCTGAGAACGGACAAGACTGGAACTGCCATTTCTTGAAAAGACTGCCCAAATACCCTATTTTATAAGTGAAAGGAGACCTCACCAGTTGGATCCTACTTAGTATGGACTTAGTGAAAGTAGAAGACTGGACGAAATTTAATTCTTTCCTTCGGGTTTGGGCCTGTGACTTGGCAGCTCTTTGTCTCCCTTGATGTCCTACCCCATTCTGACCACTGCTTTCCTGTAGGAGTTACTGCCAACCAGATGTTGCATAAAAACAATAGACTCACCATGACTCTGGCAGAATTTCTCTTCCCGGACTCCCACCCTTCGATCCCACTCTTCCTGTTTCTGTTCTTGGTTCACGGAGCACATGTGTACCTTCCCCACATGCTCTCTTTCTCTCTCAGCCTCCTGGCCCAGTCTCCCAAGCTAGAAACCTAGAAGACATTCTCTCCCTTTGATTCCATATGCACTTTGTCCCCAGGTTCCATTGCTCCTGTCTTGTTCTCTCTTCTCTCCCTCCGGCACTGTGTTAATTTCTGTCATTTCTCAGTGCGGCTCTTGGAGTTGTTCTCTCATCTTCCCTGTCTCAGCCTGCCCCCTCCAACCCACCTTCTACATCACTTTTTTTTTTTAACTTTTTTTTTATTTTATTTAAAAAAAAATTTTTTTTTCAACGTTTATTTATTTTTGGGACAGAGAGAGACAGAGCATGAACAGGGGAGGGGCAGAGAGAGGGAGACATAGAATCGGAAACAGGCTCCAGGCTCTGAGCCATCAGCCCAGAGCCTGACGCGGGGCTCGAACTCACGGACCACGAGATCGTGACCTGGCTGAAGCCGGACGCTCAACCGACTGCGCCCCTATTATTTTATTTTTTGAGACAAGGAGAGACAGAGCATGAACAGGGGAGGGTCAGAGAGAGGGAGACACAGAATCTGAAACAGGCTCCAGGCTCTGAGCTGTCAGCACAGAGCCCAACGCAGGGCTCGAACTCACGGACCGCGAGATCATGACCTGAGCTGAAGTCGGCCGCTTAACCGACTGAGCCACCCAGGGGCCCCTCTACATCACTGTTAAAACCACACACTTGATCATCTTGTTTCCCTGCATAAGATCATTCATTGGAGCCTCATCACTTGCACTGTCTGCACGGCAGTCACAGTATCAAGGTCTAGAATTATGCAAGGCAGCAAGAGTAGAAGCCACACGTGGTATAAGGAGAATGTGAAAATGAGGCCCAGTGAGACAAACCGCGTGGTTGCTGTATTAATTGGTGTGCGGGGGCAGTTTCCCTCTCCTGTAGAGGGCAGAGAGGATCGTTAAGCTACAACTATTAGGCCATTTAACTGCCAGTAAAAAAAAACAAAAAAAAACTGATTGGAGAATTAACAAATAGGAACAAAGGAGTTTGCAGAGTCAGTTTTAGAAGTACTTAACTTTGTCAAATTTGCTTCAGAAAAGTGTGGAAGAAAGTAGCCAGAAATACCTATGATGTTTAGATTGCTTTAAAAGAACCTTATTTTTAAAGGGTCATGGGTTATTTAATTTTGGACTAAAACTTTTATTGACTTCCCAGTGTTGTTTCTGTCCTTGAAAATGCACCCAAAATTAAATTAGAAAAATTCCTTCCATAAAGGGTGACTTTCTGGGGGAACTGGCCTTTAGGCTAAAAAGAGATCTTTTCTTTTTTTTTTTGTACCCTTATTCTGGTGCTTTCGACTATGTTGGAGATTCAGCTTAGAAAAGAACAAACAAATCAGCAAGAAACTAATCCGTGTCCCTCTGGGTTAAAGATCACATGTCGTGTCTCCTCCAACTTTAATCAGCAACATATGTTATTCATGGCTTAATGACAGATGGAGAGAGAAGATGAGGAGGGTTAGCGTGACCTCATCTCAGAGCCAGTAGAAAGCTCTATCATTACTTGGGACGATTAGCTGTTATTGAGAGTGCCTGCTATATGCCGGGGCTTTGTGTAGGTCACCTTTAACACCCTCACCATAGTCTTGGCTAACGAGTGGCTAATTGGGTCTGATTCAGAAGGCTTACTTTTTCCTCCAAGCCATATGCTTTTTACAGGGTGAGAAGAAAGATGTGTGTGGCGTCCACTCAAATGTTTATTCTCTTCTTTTCACAGATAGGTAGTAGGTCTTGATAAAAACTATGTATATTTCCAGCGGTTGGACCATTTTGTAACCAGATTTTCCCCAGCCTGGAATTTGGCCACAAAGGGTACAAAAACATTTACCACGGCTTGTAGCAGTATCTCTTCTCACAAGAGGAGGATAAGAAATGAGGTCTTCACACCGAGTGGAAAGTGCAAAGGACTTGAGAATTTCTCTGCATTAACTTTACAGCCATTTATTCTCCCTGCATCCAGAAGTAATGTCAGCATCCACCATTTGTTAGTATTCAGTTTTGGAGGCTGAGGCTTCTTTTAGTTATACCTCAGCCATGGTTTGTTGTGATCCTCAGATCCACAGACCTGCTATCTGGGAGGAAATGAGGAAGCCACCAGCTTCTGTGATTTCTGCCATGCCCTGGTGTGTACATTTATTCAGGGCAGTTTGTGAGCTCTCTAGACTGAAGACGGGACAGTGAACCCCGTGACCTCATAGGCCACTATCCTGAACAACACTATCATATAAGTCTGTTACAAGGTAGGGATTATAAAATGTTTTGGAATATATAAAATTTTATGGCTTATGAAACACTGTAATATATGTTCTCTTTTAGTCCTTACTGTTGGTGTTACTTTCATTTCACATTAGAGAATAATTGAAATTTACAGAGGTTAAGTGAACTTTTCTGGGTCAAAGAGCTAGAAGTATCTGTAGTTACTAGATTTTAGTTGTTTTGGGGAAAGTAGGAAGTTAGACTTGGCAGCTTAGAATGAGAAACAACCATTTTTGGAGTATAGCAGCCCAGTTTGACAGCCCCTAGGGAATTGATATGGTCTTTGTCTGTGATAAAAATTTATTGCTGACCCATCTGCAAATACTTTGGTTTTTGACATTTCTTTTGCCTTTATATTCCGAACAATTTGAAACCTTGAGTGTTTGAGAATATTGAGATCGTGCTTTGTATTTCTTTATTTGGGCTCAGTTTCTTCTGTGTTGGGAAGAAAAGGTGAGGAGTAATACAGTTAATAGCATTTTACCTTAGTGATCCAAGAAGGCTTAGTAAATTTTTGATGTCTGCCAGTTTCTTTTTTGTGTATATGTATTTCATTTTGCTTAATGAAGTTTAGGTTTTCTTCCTGTGACTAGGAATCTTGGTTTGAAAAGGAAAGTTCCTGACCCTGAGGGTTTGTGTGCTGATGAAAGCTTCTACTCTTGGCAAACTTGGCAAAATTTGAAAGCTCATTAGCCCTGTTGTCATGAATACGCGTAGTAGACACCCAATCATTGTTGTATCTGCCAAATCCAGAGACAGGGACGTAAGAAGGTGCCTTGTTCAAGTCTTCTCTCTTTGGTTTTCTAAAGATGAAGGCCTCTCAGAGGTCATATAACTAAAACTAAACTCAAACCAGTGTATTCTAGTTTGCATCTCTGAGAGAGGAAATAATAGAAACCTCCTACTGGAGGGCATGGTGTTCCAGAAAGAGGTGGAATTCAAAGTCAAAAGACCTTGCACTATTTACTGTGAGACCCAGATCAGGTTTTGTTTATAATGCTAAGCCTCTACTTACTCATCTGTAAATTGTCCTGACTTTATGGACCACATGTTTGAGAAGCTCTGGTGGCAGTGATTCTGGGAAAGGCCCTGTACAAATACTGGTGGGAGGCTGTCCCTGTTCTGAGACTAGTCTAAATCCTCTTTCCCATTCCCCTGAGGCAGGAAGCAGTTCATAATTAACCACCTACACTAATTTATAAATTTGGAGACATTCTTCTCTCAGCTGGAGATCATCTTTTCTTAGAATTGAATAATCAAATCCGATATATCCCATTTCTTCCTCCTTCATATTTTGGAGACAGTCTATGTTAGATTATTTCCTTTCATATCCTAATTTTGCACATCTGGTTTAAAAAATGGGATTCTGGGGATTGTTTCTTGTTCAGTAGAGGTTACATTTTACAGAGCTTTTAATCTTTAGGAAATGGTCATTTTATTTCACAGCATGATGGGAAGTAGCCCCATTGGTTCACTCAGGATCTTCTCCACCCTAGAACACCCAGGACTATTCTCTAGTTATAGAAGCATTATAGAAACAATGATGTTTTTCCACGAGTTTGTAGTATGATCTTGGACACATCACCTGGCTTTATTAGCTTCTGTGCTGTTGTCAATTAAGTCCGGCAGTCAGACTGAAATCCTTTTCAGGATTGTAAGCCCTGCCGGTCATCTTGCTTTACTTAAATCTGCTAGGATTTCTTTCTTGAATTCCTCTTGGTCTTAGTTGCCAAATTTCAGAGATTGCTGTGGGAAAATGCCACAGAACAGAACCCTGGACACCTTTAGCTGTTTGTGATTGACAGTGCCACTATGTGAACATGGTTAAGACTGCCTATGTTAAAAACACTGTTGACTATGTTTGTATTCATTAATATCATTCATTAATATATTGAGAACTAGAGGGGAGGCTAATAAAACTGGCTCAGAATTGTGGACCATCTGTGTGTAGATTTCCGGGACACGTCAAACTGGGCTTTAAGTGGACCTTTAGTGGAGCAGCGGGGGATTGTTTCCCAGCCGTCACTCATCAGACTGTTGTTCCACATTCCAGGAGATGACCAGGACCACGTGGTGTGTGCTTGATTGATTGTAGGTGTTCGTGTTGGGGAGGCCCAGCATGGGGCTCTCGTTCTGCCCTTTGCCATATTGTTGTGAAGGCTGAAAGAAATAACAGATATGAAGTGCTATGTGCAGCGCCAGGCACATGAGCTCCCTAAAGAGCTGTTAGTGGTGCTGGGAGTGGGGATGAGAAAAAATAGATAAACCATTTGGCACACAGTGGGCAATCATCAAATGAGTTGTTGATACAATTCATAAGTCACAGCTGTGCTTATTGTGAAATACAAAAGTATATAAATTGCCATTTCACTCCCCAGGGGTGTGTTTTCTTTGCACATACAACATATTCATGTGTGCATGTGGATGGGTAGAGAACTGTTAGGGTTTTCTGTTTCTTTGAAGAAAAATGCTAACCTGCAACTTACTTTTTACATTGACCCATTTTGAGCCATCACATGGGAATTGGATCTGGCTTCTCCCCTCTGTTGGAGCCAGGATGGAGAGGACCTGGAGACCTGAGGGGGGCTCAGGAGCCAGGCCTAGAGCTGTGTGTGCCAGAGGCCAGCAGACTGGGAACAGCATGGGTGGAGGAAGGCAGGAGTGGACCCCGCCTGTTCAGCTCCTCCATAAATAACCCCTGGAGGTTTTCTTTTCTTCTGCAGATAGTAGAAGAGAGTGAAGAACGGCTCACGGAGGAGCAGATCGAAGCCCTCCTCCACACCGTCACAAGCATTCTGCCTGCAGGGCCAGAGGCTGAACAGAAGAAAAATACGGATGACGTGACAATGGACGAAGAGGACCCAGCATAGAGGAGCACAGCTGGCCCAACCACCTCATGAAGCTGAAAGGCCCAGCAGCCATTTCCCAGACATTCAGAGGATTGTTCATTTGGTTGTACCCTCTATCCCAGCAGGCCTGATTTCATGGTTAGTTGGATAAATCACAAAAATAAGCTAAAAAGAAGTACTTGTGCCTCTGGGAGATGAAACATGGTGAAGACAGGCTGAGGTTGTCAGGGCAGAGAGCTAAAGAGAGGAGGACAGAGCCAAAGAGGACAATAACTGTGGAACCCTCTGTGGTCAAAATATTTCTTCTGTGGCCTTTGCCACAGTTGTGGGAAGGCCCCCATACACAGCTGGTAAAGTACTTGTGTTGCCTTTGATGGGCTGTGTCCTAATTAGTTTCATCTGCTTCCCTAGGAGCTTCCCAAGCAGGGGCTCTGAGCACTGTTGGGATGAGAGCAGAGTTAAGAGAATCCCGTTAGATGACTAGAAACTCCCAGAGCAGCAGATAGTTGCTTTAGGTTAAAATGAGCCACTGAATTTGGCTTACCTCAGAGGAATCTTTTCCTCGAGAACATTGGAGATAAGAGAACAGCCTGGCCAACCCTTGATCGGGTCTGAAGGCTTGTTTCCTTTGCTGGCAGGGATGGTGTTTACCAGCTCACACTATTCAGTCTTAAATGTTAGGGTACCGACCGGCCCATTCCAGTTGAAAAGCAGCACTCCAGACTGAATGACAGCTCAGCAGAAGAACAGCATTGGCCGCCTTTCTAATGACCTTCGGTTTCCTGCCCTGAGACAGGAGCCCTGAGTAGACACCTTTGTGTCAAGTCTGGGTGAACTTCATTTGCATGATGGGCAAATTGTCTGCATCTTTTGAAAGGGGTCAGTTATATAGTTCTTCATGGATAAAATACGGAGAATCCGGAGGTTGGTTCCTAAGAATTTGAATTTGTTAGCTGTTGCAAGGATGTATCAGTTTTTTAATTTAAAATATTAGGATAATTACCATGTGAAGAACTTATTGATACTGAGGCTTTGGAGAGTTCAGTAGCTCCAGATGTGTGGTTGCCCTAATCCTAGGAATGTTGCTGAAAATTAATTTTCCACATTCGCTCTGCTCCTGACTTGGGGAAGAAAATGCCCACAGACACTAATTTTCCAAATTGGTACTTATTTTGTTGTGAGATTACATATTTTCAGTGCTGCTGTTAACTGGATGACTTCCCACCCCCTTGCAATTTCCAGGTTATTTCAACCTCCCTACCACCCCTGCCAGTTGCACTCATGTCTTTCTTAACCTTATCATCTGAGGATCACCTGAGATGTGTTTACAGGCAAAACTGGAATTCACAGGGCATTTATATTGAAGTCTCTTGTCTATATTGGGAATTTTACCAGGAATTGTTGATTTTTCTTGTCAAGGCATCACATGGGTACCTATGCCACTGTTTCATTTTAACTGTGAGTGTGTTTGATGTATTTTTTTTAATGGATTAACCTAATTAATAATAAATTGTTTCCAAGTGACCACCAATTTTTGGTATTTTTATAAATCTCTTAAGAGTTTGTTTTGCTATGGATAGAAAGTGAAATCTGACTTGAAAGCTAAAATGTGTGATTTTTTTGTTAAAAAAAATCTGTTTAGGTCTAAATTCTATTTTAGATTGCAGGAAAATTTTACATTTCTGTATTTGGGGCCTGAATTTAACCTCAGTTTTTGATAAAGCCAGGCAGGCTCTGGAAGGCTTAACCTTTATAGGAAACGTATTCTGTATAATATTCCTGTCACATTAACAACATTTAAGAATTAAGATAATTTACGGAGTGGACCAAGATGGTGGCTCCTGTGGATCTGGAATTGAAGAAGGCCTTCACAGAGCTTCAAGCCAAAGTTATTGACACTCAGCAGGTGAGGCTTGCAGACATACAGATTGAACAGCTAGACAGAACGAAAAAGCATGCACATCTTACAGGTACAGAGATTATGACTTTGATAGAGGAGACTAACATGTATGAAGGTGTAGGAAGAATGTTTATTCTTCAGTCCAGGGAGGTAATTCACAATCAACTGCTAGAGAAACAGAAAATAGCAGAAGAAAAAATTAAAGAATTGGGACAGAAAAAAATCCTACCTGGAGCAGAGTGTGAAGGAAGCTCAGGACAACATCCGGGAGATGCTGATGGCACGAAGGGCACAGTAGGAAACCTCTAGTGGAAGCTTCCTGCCCCCTTCCATTCCTCGCCAGGGCAGAGGGGCTCGTGTGGGGAAACATCCTCTCTTCTGCCCTGATGGACTTCTTATTTGAATGATCTGGTGGCCCTATGCTTTCTACTTCACCCTGATCCCCTTTCCGATCCTGGCTTTGCCTGCCACCCTTGCCCAGGATACTCCTCCCCTGTGGGTGAGTCACGAACTCCCAGGAGAGGCAAGATGGGAGCCAGGACAGATAGGGGAGCTCTGCCCAAACCTGTTAGTTATGCTGGTTAGACCAATAAAAGGCATCTGTCTGCCCCCTGCCCCCCGCCCCCACAAAAAAAAAAAAAGATAATTTACGTACAAAACTTAACCAGGATCACATCTAGGAAGGAGAGCTGGGGAGTCTGGGAATTTTACTTTCCATTTTACATCTTTCTGTGTGGTTTTAGTTTTTGACCATGTGACAGTTTTATTCTTAAAAAAAAAAGTATGTCCATTTGTTTATTGGCCTCTGAAAATTTCTGAATATGTACTTGACAGTTGAATTATGTCCCAAACAGAGGCTGACACCCAGTCCAGTCACCCAAGGAGAGGCAGCTCTGAGGGCAACTGGAACAGGCACATGATTTTTAGTTCAATCTGTCTTCCTTTGTTATTCCAGACTTTCCTATGCTCTTAGTTTTGTTTTGTTTGTTTTTGAGGGGAAAACCCTAGTTTTTGACCCAGGAAGATGTTTTTAGTTATCTGTCAAGATACTTCTGAGCTTTTGAAAAATCGACTCCCGGGGCGCCTGGGTGGCGCAGTCGGTTAAGCGTCCGACTTCAGCCAGGTCACGATCTCACGGTCAGTGAGTTCGAGCCCCGCGTCAGGCTCTGGGCTGATGGCTCGGAGCCTGGAGCCTGTTTCCGATTCTGTGTCTCCCTCTCTCTCTGCCCCTCCCCCATTCATGCTCTGTCTCTCTCTGTCCCAAAAATAAATAAACGTTGGAAAAAAAAATTTTTTTTTTAAATTAAAAAAAAAAAAAAGAAAAAAGAAAAATCGACTCCCAGTTACAGGTTTACCCAAATACTTCTCTTGCCCCCTTTTGCTTAAATGTTGCAGTATGATGCACTGTCCCCTGTGAGGACTTCCCATTTATTCCTAAAGTAATGGGTACCATTTCCCTAAGTAATCATTGTGTGACTATACCATTTCTCAAGAGGTTATAGCCTAGTGAGAGGTGAGTAAATTAATGCTCCAGATATTCCTTGCTAAATTATTTTCTCCCCTGAAACTAAATTTAACACCCATTTGTGTAAATGGATCATTTCCACAAATGGATCATTTGTGTAAATGGATCAGTAAATTGTAAAGCACATCACATACTCTGAAAAAAATTATCAACCTTATTTAATTATACAATGAATAAAGGGGATAAAAGGAAGTAAAACTGCCTAGATATCCTTTTGTATATTTTTTTAAATTCAGGGGTTTTGAGTATATCACAAGGTTGTACAACTATCACTCCTGCCTAATTCCAGAATCTTTTCCAAAAGAAGCCCCATACCCACTAGCAGTCACTTTTCATTCACATTTCCCCATAGCCCCCTGACAACCACTAATCTTTCTACTATATATTTGCCTATTCTGGTCATTCCATATAAATTAAATCTGACTTCTTTCATTTAGCATATTTTCAAGGTTCAGCTATGTTGTGCCATTCCTTTTTATGGTGGAATAATGGTTTGTTGAATGGATACACCATTTTTTATCCATTCATCAGTTGGTGGATATTTGGGTTGTTTCTACTCTGGCTGTTATGAATATGCTGTTGTGAACAAATTTTTGTTGACCTACGTTCCCCTCTCTCTTGCATATACCTAAAAGTGGAATTGTTAGGTCATATGATAACTCCGTTTAACTGTTTGATGAATTGCCACACTGTTTTCCATAGCACCTGCACCATACCATGTTTCTACTAGTGGTGCATGATGGAATCCAATTTCTCTCTTGTTTTTGTCCCTCGTATTGATTATAACCATCCTAGTGGTTGTGAAGTGCTGTCTCAGTGTGGTTTCGATCTGTAATTCCCTAATGGCTATTAAAGTTGATGGGGCGCCTGGGTGGCGCAGTCGGTTAAGCGTCCGACTTCAGCCAGGTCACGATCTCGCGCTCCGCGAGTTCGAGCCCCGCGTCGGGCTCTGGGCTGATGGCTCGGAGCCTGGAGCCTGTTTCCGATTCTGTGTCTCCCTCTCTCTCTGCCCCTCGCCCGTTCATGCTCTGTCTCTCTCTGTCCCAAAAATAAATAAACGTTGAAAAAAAAAAAAGTTGAGTATCTATCTTTTCATGTCCTTACTTGTGGATATTTATATATTCTTTGAAGAAATGCCTGTTGAAAGCCTTTGCGCTTAAGAAAAAACATTATTTTTTCAAGGAGTTTTAGATTCACAGTGAAATTGAGCAGAAAGTACAAAGAATTCCCATATAGCCCCTTGCCCTCCTTGCCCCCCCCCAACAGCTTCCCCTATTATTAACATCTGCATTAGTATGGCATGTTCGTTAAATTGATGAGCCAATGTTGATCTACTTTTACTACATAAAGTCCCTAGTTTACATTAGGGTTCATTCTTTGTGTTGTACAGTAGAGAGTGCAGGAGTGCACGCATAGACTGGGTTTTGACAAGTACAAAAATCTATTATGCTATTATCAGAATATTTTCTGAAAACACCTTGTGCTCCACTGTTCATTTCCTCCCTTTCCCCAAATCCCTTACAATCACTGGTATTTTTACCGTCCCCATAGTTTTGCCTTTTTCAGAATGTCATATAGTTGGAACCATAGAGGATGTGGCCTTTACAGATTGGATTTTTCACTTAGCAGTAGGTGTTTAGGGTTACTCCATGTCATTTCATAGCATGATAGCTCATTTCTTTTTATTATTGAATACTATTCCATTGTCTAGATGTACCAGTTTGTTTACTGTTTCACCTACTGAAGGTCAACTTGGGGTGCCTGGGTGCCTCAGGGGTAAGTGTCTGTCTTGATTTCGGCATAGGTTGTGGCCTCGCGGTTCATGGGATGGAGCCCTGTGTTGGGCTCTGTGCTGACAGCGCAGAGCCTGCTTGGGATTCTGTCTGTCTCCCTCTATCCCTCCCCCACCCACACTTGCTTTCTCTCAATAAATAAACTTAAAAGTCATCTTAATTTCTTCTGGGTTTTGGTAATTACCCGAAAAAGCTGCTATAAACATTTGTGTCCACATTCGTGTGGCAGAAGTTTTCAGCTCATTTTCGTAAATACCAAGGAACATAATAGCTGGATCATAGGGTAAGAGTATGTTTAGTTTTGTGAGAAACTGCCTTACTGTCTTACAAAGTGACTGTACCATTTTGCAGCAGTGAATGAGAGTTCTTTTTGTTCATGTCCTCACCAGAATTTGGTGGTATCTGTGTTTTAAATTTTGGCCATTCTAATCTGTAGTGGTATCACATTGTTTTAAATTGCAGTTCCCGAAAGGCATATGACATTCATATTTTTATAAGTTTATTTGTCATCTGTATATCTTTTTTGAGGAGATGTCCAGATCTCTTGCCCACTTTTTTTTTCAATGTTTATTTTTGAGAGAGGGCACAAGTAGGGTAGAGGCAGAAAGAGAGAGGGAGACAATCTGAAGCAGGCTTCAGGCTCTGAGCTGTCAGCACAGAGCCTGATGTGGAGCTCGAACCCATGAGCTGTGAGATGATGATGTGAGTCAAAGTCAGAAGCTTAACCGACTGAGCCAACCCAGATGATCTCTTGCCCATTTTTAAATTAGGTTGTTCTCTTTTTGTTGAAATTTAAGTGGTTTTTAAAATATATTTTGTAGGGGTGCCTGGGTGGCTCAGTTGGTTGAGCATCCGACTTCAGCTCAGGTCATGATCTCGCAGTTTGTGAGTTCGAGCCCCATGTTGGGCTCTGTGCTGACAGCTTGGAGCCTGGGGCCTGCTTCAGATTCTGTGTCTCTCTCTCTGCCCCTCCCTCACTCACACTCTGTCTCTCTCTCCTTCAAAATAACTAAACATTGAAAAAAATTTAAAAAAAAAATAAAATATATTTTGTACACTAGACCTTTATCAGATAAATATTTTGCAAATATTTTCTCCCAGTCCATGACTTGTCTTTTTATTCTCTTAACAGCCTTTTACAGAACAAAAGTTTTTAATTTTAATGAAGTCCAACCTGTCCTTGTCTTTCATGGATCATGGTTTTGATGTTGTAACTAAAAAGTTATGAAGCCTAGGTTGTCATCATGAAGTCACCTAGATTTTCTCCTATGTTATGTTTTGGAGGTTTATAGCTTTGTATTTCACAGTTAGGT